AAAATACTTAGTTTGTAATTATAAAATATACATAGAACTATATTGTCGATGGCAAATTCTTATCTAATATCCGCTAAGATGTGGAATAAGTACTTAATGATTTTATTATATTGCTCAATTTGTCTAAAACGAGAAAATTATTCAACATACTTAGTAGAATTAATGCTCACTTGTAAATTTCCACGCTATTTTCAAATGATAAGTAGATGATGTAACTTCTTGCCAATCAAACTGTATCGCTTAAGGTTTTATACGCCGGCGTGTAACATACTAGCAACTTTTTTTACCACCAGCTTTCCTTTTAAGCACGTATGTCTAAGCGTCCGTTCCCTATATGGTAAAGTGATGTAAAAAGGATGTTGGTCTCGATATGTTATGACTGACATAATACCACATGTGACCCTAATTGACCAGAAATATTATTCAACATGAACGAAAATATTTTCCATTAATTATTGTCAAATGTTCATAATATTTTATCGAACTGTGATGTAAATCATCAGATCATGAATATATGAAGGTGTTACTGATGTTGAAATGCTTAGAATAGTTTAAATAAATTAAATACTGAACATTTCACGCTTATCTGATCCGTGCGAAGTGACTACATGCTTTCATACAAAAGACTTCAACGCGTCACGTAAAATGTTTTTTTTTGTTTTTAAAAATATTAACAAGTACAAACTAAGGAAAGAAAGCAAAACATTAAAGCATTTGAAATTTAACCTCAATAATTTTGGTACTTTTTTCATGTAATGCAATCCAGTGTAGTACTAGCCGTAGCCCTAAATTAGTTAACTGTCATGAATGAAATGGATTTTTTTGTACAAACCAAATACAATGTTCCGTTTCAATCAATATGTGCGATAAGACGCCTAAATACGCGGAGGAATGCATCTTGGTACTTGTGGTGATCGCACAACACTCCCGACGATTTTTAATGAACGTTTTTGAACTTTTTGCATTCGTTTTAAAACAGCTATGCATACATTTTCTATGCATTCTTTTGATTCGCCTCGATACAATCTTAATTATACCGCTATAAGTGCATTAAGAAGGCTGATTAGTGTAGTGACACAGATATTTAAAGACACACAGATACACTTAAAAACTAAAGAGTTTTTTTTTTTAAAAAAAAGCGATTTAAAACAATGTTAAATGGCAAAGAATACATAGATATTACCAGAACATGTCAATATTCAATAGTCAATTTTAAATAATATATTCTGATTTTTGTCGTTCTATAAAACCTAATATATTAAATACTAACTGTTGCTCGCGACTTCGTCTGTGTGAAATTAAAAAATAATAAAAAATATTGCCTGTGTAACTCACAGACAATTTACCTTTCCAGCGGTGTACGAGTTAAAATCGGTGTTTAAAATCAGCCCAGTAGTTTTTGAGTTATAACAATACATACAAAAATACAAATCTTTCCTCTTTATAATATTAGTTTAGATTACAAAGTAAAAACTTAATAAACCATATAACATATAGCGTTGATAAATTTCAGATACACATGTAATTATAAAGTGTAACATGTAATTGTCCGTTACATGCAACTAGGTGAGTTACATTACCACGCACAAACTAACCATGTAAATTACAATCAACACCGGCCGCGCGAATGTACGCCAAACGGTTATGTTTACCTAGATTTACAAGTACCCACTTATTTGTAAATAGAATAAAATATACTTCAGATATTACTGTGACTAATCCTTTCTTTAATCGTCATAATTTTTCCTGCTTATGTACTTGAAACGTAACACCATCTTACTAATGTTATAAATGCGAAAGTTTAGATGGATGGAGGTTTGTTAGAGTGTGTAGCTTAAACGGCTCAACGAATCTCGTTGAAATTTTTGGAAGTTAAAGTCTAAAAGAACACATAGGCTACTTTTTTAACTCCACGCCGACAGATTAGAGGGCGAAAGCTAGTCATCTATATTTTCAAAAACGTAGTTTTTACCAACTTTACTATTTTGAAGACTTTAACTAAGTAACTAACAATGTAAAACCTAACCTACAAAATGTGTAAACTGCATTTTCTTTATCTTCCACGTAAATTACGGATATTGCAAAAATCGTTAAGTAGAGTCGATTGTGAAGCAGTAATTATCCAATAGACAATGCCAACAGCTATAGTAATCTAGAACGAATCTAGAACTCAGCTCGCGTGTTTTCAACCTTAAAGAGATACAAGTGCCGCAAACCGCGCTCAATAGGAAGACGGAAATTTCTGTTCAAAAATAACATTTATCTCGTATATGTTTAGAATGAAATTCTTAAGAAAATCTATTCTGTTGCGGTTTCAGTATGCCATTGTTTCACGTCAAAGTTAGATGTGTTATTGTAGATCTACAAGAGGTAGGAATTTATAACTAACTGTTATATTTTATTGTTACGACGCACTTATACAGGAAGCGTTTAACATATTTGTACTGATTAAACGACTAAATGTGCATTAAAGTTTAATTAACATAATATAAGTTTCATGATAGTTTATGTAATTTAAAATAATTTGTTTAATTGTTATACAAATTACACTAAAAGAAAAAAAAAGTATAATGAAGTAGTTTTTTATGAAAAAAAAAATACTTTAATGAATGTAGACAATAATTGCGTAGCAACTATTTTATCGTAAAAAAGAATATGTTAAGATCATCTGTCTGCGAACGTGTTATGAATAGTATTATATACGGAAACCGTTCAGAATGTTAGATCACACAACTTTGACATTCACGTACGAACATATTTGTTATTACAGTAACATGACACTGATTGTGAAAGTACATTTTTAATGTTCATGATAACTATCAAACAGTCAACCAATACAAAAATTAGAAACTGAAAAGCGGCGCATATTTTTAATCACCAAATAGATTGAACTAATTGCTATTAGTTTACGCCGAAACATCTGTTTAAAACATGTTTTCGTACCCATTTATTGTAAAATAAAGATAAGAACATATTTTGTAGAGATTTTTTGGTAATGGAGATACTTTTATTATGCAATATCGTGGAAAATATGTCTTTCCTATTTTCAGTAAACAAAGAGCTTGACAACAAAAATAACTTCCGTTCACAGTTCCGCGTCTCTGGTTAATCAGTTCAGGCTACTGATTACTAGGAAAACACCGGATCGTGCAACGGCTACGTCCCATTGCCACACTTTACCAGCCCTGATGACACGTTCCGCATTCATACGACATTCGGCGAAGTCTTATGTCGCATGTCATTAAGACGCACGCATTAAACGCATTTTCACGTAGAAAGTCTCAGACGAATAGACTTTCGTATCAACGAAAGTTTGAAACAAATTCCGCGGAACGCTACGATTTCGAATATTATAAATGGAGCGTCTAACAAAGATGTTGACCCGATAGCCGAGTTCGCGGCAAATACAAGACAATCTAACGATAAACTACAAACGATCCCGCTTCAAATAAAACTATAACTTTCTACGACAACATCTGACAATAACAACATTGGCTATTGTCATTTTGTGTATGACTAAAACAAAATAAATTAAATTATTTAATTAACTATTTTAACTAATTATCTATTTTACTACACGAGATTATACACATAATATTTATACATAAATCTGTTTCATAATTATTCGACACCCACTACGTAAATCGAGAATTAACTATAAATCCGTCCTTATAATAGTGGAAAAATATTTAACAAGTAAGTAACACAAACATTACAATTCTAGTCACAAATCCTCGATCAAAATGAAGTCAAGATATAGTTTGTAAAAATAACACCTCGTATCTCACACACTGTTCTACATCTTTTGAATTTTAATATCCTACAAAGGTTGCATTTTACATTATAAGTTGAAATAAAGTATTATTACGAGTAGAGTGTTACAATACCAACTAAAGTATTTCAAGTTCTACTAGCAAGTCTTATAAGAATTCGTTCTATGCTAATTCAACAACACGAAAATTTGGTAGAAAGTATTCGTAACCTCAACAAAGTTTATAAAATTTACACCCAATAACACCTGGGTGCTGCAGAAATCCAATACAAATTTTGCCGATAATGTCACGAATCTTTCGTGGCAAATGTTCGTGCTAGGTCTCCTAATATTGGTTTGTGTGCTCTACCACTGTCAAAAGCTCACTGACGAACTAAGTTTTGTTGTTTATATCAATTCTTAGCGTTGATTTTTCATATAAAATGTGCAAGGAAGGGGAACTTAAATATTAAAGAGCGGCCGTTATCGTAAATGTACAACTAAAGCTCTTATTAAAACACAGATAGTTACTCTTATCCAATTTATAAGGTAATTATTGTACGCCATCGAACACATCAGTGAGGGTAAGAAGTGATGCGTAAAAACTACAGAAACGGCTATAGACGATAGATATTGTCCGTTAACGTTATACGCTAACGCATTATAACTGTCAATATAAAACGATTTACCCACATGATTTTATTATTAAACTTACCATTATGTTAATAAGATCATTTCAGTCAAAAAATAATATTACAGTATACGAAAAGAACGTACTTTAGCAATCTAGAGCAGTTATAGTAATGAATTTGTACCAAATTTCATTATATTTATGACTTAAAAAAACTCAAAAAAATGTTTAAATTATCAGCAAAATTAGTAACTCTAGTATTGCAACTTTGTGTTTATTGGAAAAAGTTGACTAGACAATCGTAACGAAATTTATTGAATCGATGTCTCACTCCAGTTTTTTCGGTTGAATGAATTAGTTCAAGTAGAAAGCGACTAATGATTCTCAGGCTTAACGATTGCAAATAAGAAAACAATTTCATGTTATAAAAATACGAATAAATGGAATTAAAATGCTTCTTAATAACTAAGAATAATTGTAACAGAGAATAAAAGAAAGTATTGTCATAAAACCTGCAAAATTTTTAATCAGATAGTAAAATTAGAAATGAACAAAGAAAAAGTTTTTTAATGAGAAACCTTTTCATCTTAATATAATAAACATTTAAATGAAACTTACCGCTTGGGTATGCTAATCCGACGTTGCCGGAACAGGTGATCCATTGTTTTCTAGAACTTACTTGTTCCCTCAAACGGACTATCCCACGAAAATGCTTTCACTTTATCTCAAATATCTTCCGGAATCAACAAACACAATATTATTTTAGTCTTTTGAAATTTTTATCACTCTATCGTCACTGTACAGTTTTTTATTGAATGCACGTTTTTATTACTGAAGCTACAAGCAATGTAACAAAAAAGATAAGAAATAAATTACCTATTTAGCTAGCTAACAACTTATATATTTAAAGTTTTCATAGAAATTATATCAAACATAAAACTATATACTATTCTTTGTTCGTACGTAAATATGGCTAATTGGAAATGTGATAATTTACACTTCGAATTTCATAATTATTTATATATATTATTTTCAACCTTTCATAATCTAAATATGTGAACTCCGATACCATTAATAAAACTAAATTTATTAAGTTGCAATATGCAGATATTGGATATACATTAAATAAAGCAACAATAAAGGAAGGTAGATCTGCTTTTTCTATAAAATCCTTTTTGGTTTGAAACTAACAGATACCGGAATATGTAGTTACATGATATTGCAAAATATTTTACTCAAATCTAATGAATGTGATTATCGAAATCATGTAGCATGACACCGAAAATCTCACATCTTGTAATAACAGACTTAAAGGAATTAGACGCCGATGTAAAGAGAAAGTGAAAGACGTTGACTCGATTTTGCCGTAACAGCTAGTCATTAAGAATGTGTTCAGCGATACAATAAAACTTCATATCATAGGTAATGGTAAAAATAATATGTTATGTAACTATGTAAATAATTTTTTTACAAATTGTTACTTCATCCATTAAATAATGTCATTTTTAAAGATTAGTAACATCTGTAAAAATATCCCATTTAAAATATAACCTTACTTCTTACTAATATAAACGCCAAAGTTTAGGATGCATAGATGTTTATTACGTATCTCTAGAATATTTCAACATAAATTGCTTAAAATTTGGTATAGATGTAGAATATAATTTTGAAGAACACATAGGCTATTGCTTAATTTTTTTACCAAGATTATAACCTAATTAAATTCCACTTTTTAAATATAGTCATCTAACCTACAAATTACCTTTTATTTTAATCTGCCATTAAAACTATAAACTAAATTTATACTACAAAGAAAATTAGCACTTAGTGTATACAGAATGTTAAAATTTAGTAAAAAGCGGATAACAAATTCAATTGTGGTCCACACCTAATAGAATAAATTAACGTGAGAGTTTGAAAAAAATAAAGTGAACACAATCGCCTCTTGTCACAGAGATGTGAATAACCTTAGAACGTCAGACTGAACTCAGCTATTGTATTTTTAAATCCTTGCAATTAAAATGCACACCTACAAAAAACATTCGAAATTAATGAATTTCAAAGGCTGATATAAACATGGGTTTGTATACGTATTTTTTCTAGAGTCTTTATATTTATTTTACGTAAAACACTAATGGTTTGACCTAATTCAAAGAACACTTTAAGCTGCCTGAAGACATCATTTAAACGAGTAATGGCGACGTATGAAAATACCAGAGAAAAAGCCATTTCCGTAAATATTTTGAGTAGTAATGTAAAAAAATATTAACCAAGAAGATATCTGCAAAATTTTAAGTGCCGTATTTATTTATACCGAATCTCAACATTACATGTCACTTATAATTTAACAAATACGTTTCTCGTCATTTTTTAAATATTTAAAATTACTTGGAAATTGACATTAACACAATTTAAAAAAATGAATCTTAATTAATCCTAACTATATTTTAAAAAAATAAAATAAAACTGGGCATTGATATCAATCCTAAGTCCTATTTTAAATGTATTCTTTAGTCATTGGTTTACTTAGAATACCTGTACATCAGAAATAGCAAATCGATAAAGTAAGCGAAAACAGGAATTTTTATAAATAAGGCATGACTTGATCTGTAATGGATCGAGTTGTTTTTCAGGCGCTCTATACATTGAGCTCCATTTTGAAATGTACAACAAAAAATTCGAATGGTGACATCCTGACAAAAAAAATCTCTAGTAAAAGACACGATTGTAATGTTAATAAACATATTATTTCTGTTTTTTTTTTCTTATCCTGCATTTTTAAAGATTGTTTTAATAAGTCTATCTTATTTTCATAGATTGAAAAATAATTTAGTAACATCTTTAATTGTTTCACAGTTGATTTAACAAACATAATAAAATAAAAAATTATATTAAATATACCTGATACATGCATACAAAATTTAGTAATTTTATTACCTCAGCACAGATTAAAAAAACGTAATAATTTAATAAATACAGTTTAAAAGAAACGAAACTTTCAACGTTCGTGCGACTTTCTACCGCGTGCGCGTGTGTTGGGGAAAATGAAGACTGGCATGAAACGTCTGATCGCGGGACCATCTCACGGCGAACTGGCCAGCCAGTGGTCGGCTCTCATAAACTCACATTACACTCGAATCTATAAAAAAGTAGGAACCAAGGTAACACACACGATAGCTAAGAAAAAAATAATTAATCATTTAATAATTCTTTAATAATTTATATTTGCTTATATTCCTAACATAAAGCTATGGGTACGCGTATGGTATTATTTATAGTTTCTATATTATGTTATATTTTCTAATATAAACTACATAAAATACAAAGATGACCGGTAGTTTATATAAAAGAAATAAGTTGGTATTTCTACAACGACATTCCATTTACACGTTTATATGTTATGTGAAAATGTGATTAGAATGATATATATTGAAGCCATGCCTTTTTTTACATCGTAATTGGACGGTTATTTCATACGTGACGTTATCTAGACATGTTACACTTCTTGTTAACACCAGCTTGATATGTAAATAAACGAATACCACATAACTGTATCGAAATTCGGTAATGCGCGTAACGAATAAGCTGTATTTATAATCCATTCGATTTATTTGAAATTATCTAGATGCTAACAAGACGATCTTAAAAGGCTTGAGCGCCTAGTTATTCATACATAATAGAATCAAGCTATATGTCTACCATGTTCAAAACATCTCATTTCATGCCAAACAAAGACGCAAGGTTTTCTTCAATTTTTTGTTGTTGATATATGTTCATCATTATTTAAGGTGCTCTTCTTAGAAACAGTAAACCTACAATACATTTACTTACTAAGTCAGCCAATGTACAGTCGTTGAAATCCGCGGTGTTTCACTTTAGAAAAAAATAACTTTTTCATTGCAACGAGAACTCTGCCCCTTCCTAGAAATAACTGATTAGATAGCAGCGAGTTCAAACGAAGGGATAATAATAAAAAGAAACTAGCCGTGTACCAATTGAGTTTTGTTCGTACAGACCCATTTATAGGCTGCGTTGTATTGATTGTTCCGCATCTCGTTTCAAAAATATTCAAACGATTGTAGTTTTTAAGGTGGAACACCGCCAGTTTTTTCGATTGTACTTCGTTACACTGAAACTACATCATAAAATACATTATGTTTGGCACTAAAACTACCACCTGTAATATTAGGTGTATCCATTTACACCTGTAATTTACTTACATAGTAAAACATAGAGCTAGTTATAGTTACGCATTTAAATAGGCAATACCCTCGTATTACGACATTTGTTACATTCAAAAGATAACATAATGTAACTCCTGTAATTTTCTGAATAGCAAATTGTCAACAGAGGAACACGACTTTCTCTCTTTTCTTCTCAAAACAGGTTATCAAGAAAATATTTATACTGAAGGCTTTTTGGCACTTAATTGGTATTCAATAAGTTAAATTATATTATAAATGGATATTCAAAAACAGTGATTAATGATTCTAATCCAAAATTGTTTACTCCAAATGATTCTCACATCGGAATTATAAAACGTAAATCTCGCGTTACACTTAACGCGCACGCGATCCCGTAGCAAATGATCCGTAAAAATGAATTAACAGCCTCCCAGCCAATCTGCAACGCGGCCGTTATTGTTTGAAAAACCGTTGTCTGCACCAGTTTAGCTCCATGACAATTTCTACTGCGCGGGAAAACGCAACTAATGCCCCATCATGACGATTTTATTTATGTTAAGATTTACGCATCATGTTTACTTCGAATTAATGCCGGTACAAATAAAACTGGTTACATCTATCAATGACTTTTATTTATCACCGAAAATGACGGTAAAATTATTATTTTTTTGATGTTAATATTTTTTCAAACCTCTCTAAAAAAATCAAGTTCGGTACTATAATAATAAACAAATCTAGCACCCTTTGTATCATTTGTTAAATGTTAAAAATCAGCTGTTTTGCGAACAATGTCAGTGAATAAATGAACAGAAAAACTTTATGCAAATGTTGTATTGTATAGGTTTAGAGATACTCTCTCTTATTGTCTTTTTTTTCAGAACTTTCACTACTAAGATATGCATAGATGTGTAAAACTGCATGCGCAATTTTGAAGATTTGTAATGGTAAGGTTTCGGTATAAACTTTTAGGATCAAAAGAGATAGCAGTCTGCCACACTTTCGACATTGTAAATATTTTTTACTTTAAAAGATAAATATCAGTGGGCTTATATACAGTGTAAATGTACTATGAAATAAAACAATATTGTATATAATTCGAGATATATTTTACATCAAACATACACTTATTATAAAAAAGATTCGCTATTAGAGCGCGCGCACACCTTGACTAAAAAATTGCACAACTGTTTAGTCTCGCTTCAATTTCTATGACCTTATATGGAGGTGCGCACACTACTCGATTTTTAGTTGTGCAACTTCAATGGAATTGGCCGCGAAACAATCGACAATCGCTCAACAGTTGTGCGATTGTTTAGTCCGCTCCTAATGAATTAATAAATGAATTACATATAGTAATATTTCATTACTACATTTATGAAATATGGTGAACTCTGATATTCCCAGATTATACTATTATACTACAGTTACATATACAAGTTGATTTCATTTAGTTTTTTTTAAACTACTTCTAACATTTAAAGACAATTCTGATTCTTACAAATTTGTAGAAATACGAGTATATTCTTATTAAAACTAATTACATTTAGAGTTCATCATGTAATTCCTGGTTTACATTTAAAATGCAATTAATCTAAGGGTCCATTCACACGGACACATTGGTTACTTAGAGAGAACCGTCTTTCATAATATGTATATGTAAAAAATAAAATCGTGCATTTACACGGAGTTTGGTGAAAAACTATTTGGTTTAAAGATGTAATAATAGATTGGTTGGAGAAAATTCATATTTAACCTATGGAAGTAGGTAGAGGTCCTTTAGGAGATGTTATTTTACCCCAACCGAAGTAAACAAAAACTGTTGAATATGAATACATGAGTCCATGGTGAGGTTCGGAATCATCTTTGTATCTTTTTGCAGCGGGGGAGGATGGCTCCGCTTTAACTCTGGTTGGGTGGTTGATGCCAAGTTCGCCGTTGCCATAGCAACCGGATATCGGCGTGTCCGGGAATGCGTCACGAAAGCAATCCTGCTCAATAACATGCTTCTGGTCACGACCCACACATGACAGCTTTAAGGCAATGCTGTGTTCAAAGCGGGGTACTTTATTTGAAAACTGCAAATAAAAAATAAATTATGGGAATGTCATCCTACTAGTATTATAAACGAGCATTCGTCCACGACTTCGTCTGCGTGAAATTAAAAAAACAACAAAGTAGCCTATGTGTTCTTCCAGACTAAGCTCTACATTTATGCCCAATTTTAACAACATTCATACAGTAGTTTATGCTACAAATTCTAACAAACATCCATCAATCCATACATCCAAGCTTTCACAATTATATTAGTAGGATGAGAGTTCAGATGGATGGATGGATAAATCTTTGTTAGAAGGCATATCTGGTATAGCTCAATGCATTTCGCTGAAATATTTGGTAAACATACTGTACTCTGTAATTTACATAATCATTCAACACATTATATAAACTTATTCTCTAAACAAGAACATGCAAAAACTCAGGAATTAGGTCAAAATAAAAGATCTCACCTCAGTAATGGCTTGTTGTATCATTGGTTTCTTCCATTCTGATGAATTAATAACTAAGGAGTACATTTCAAAGTTATATTCATTACTAGTAATATTCTTTGGCACTGTGAACAAACACATTGATAGCAAATTTTCACTTATAAAATCTGCATTTTCATTCAACTTATCAATTATGTTATCAATATCTTTGCTGTCAGCCATTGTATCTTCAACGAGACAGCCTCCAAGAGCATATGGTATGTTAGGTTGCCTGCAAAAATTGGTCAAACATAAAAAAGTACTCAAAAACGAGATAAGTTAGTTCTAGCTTGTTTAACTCATTTTATATTTTTTAATTTTCTAGGGTAAGCCGCAGCTTCCTACCCCAATGGTGACGCCCATGCAATTCAGCACATCTTACTAATATTATAAAAGATGGAATGATGGTTGTCTGTTAGAGTTTGTAGCCTATCCTACTGAACAGAACTAGGTGAAATTTGGCAGATATAGAGGATAGTCTGGAAGAACACATAGGCTACTTGCATTTGTTTCTTTTTTTATTTATGCGGACAGTCATAGACTAAAGCTAGTAATAACATATTTCAAATAATTAAGATTATGATACTTACACATCTTTAAGATAATGCATAAACACAATATCATCAATTGAATTTAGTAGATATTTGTCAGTAACAAAGACTACAACACCTTTTATTATATTATATTGAGATAACTTCTCAACAACATCATAAAACTCTGTCTTTAAGCCGTCTTGTGATTTTATGTTTATAGTTTTTAATCCCACATTAGGTATCTTAGGGATATATATACCAGCAATGAATGGATTGTTCCATGTGTCTGTATAATGAGTTATTGAGTGTACATAAGTATTTGTGAATGGTAGAGGCCTGTATACCAAATAGTTAGCTGTTGAAGTCAGCATGCAATTCTTGGGAGCATTCACTTGGCGATTTATCAAATCTATCACTGAAAAGAAAAAATGTTTTGTTTAATACACCATATGAACTTTGTTAATGATAAAAGTTATGAATTAATTGTTGCTAATACAAACAAAAGATAAGCTACAAATGAAAATAATTTAATTTGACTTACAGCAGTGTTCTTTCTGACAAGGCTGTGGACATGGCCAGGGAGAAAATACCTTGCATTTACAACAGAAACACATGGCAGCTGTATTTGCAAATGCAAAGATGATCAATGGCTCTGTGCGGAATGTACCGGACTGTTTGATCCATCCTTTACCTCCACAGCCCTTTGGAGGGCTACAAAGGTCAACAACAAAGTCTTCTGGACACAATTGTTCCCTCTGCAGTGCCTGCACCGCTGACCTCCAAGTACTACATACAAGCTTACATATAAGTTTATCTTGCCAACTTAGACTACTTATTATCATCTTCACAATAATGTAATTAGATGTTACTTTTTCTATTAGAGTACTATCACATTCTAATGGTTCAATATCTCTAATTAATTCTTTCTTCTCAATATAAGCTGTAATATTATCCTTCAATTGCAATTTAGCACAACTGTCTTTGCTGTCTATTTCATCTTTGTCAAAGCAAAGTTCATCAATTCCGATGTACACTGTGTTAACAGAGTTTTCTGCCGATACTGAATACATTTTGTAATTTCTATATTTTAAATTTCAGTTACAATTAAATCTTCATGTCCACGTCTAATTGGATCGCCTTTTAGAAGAGCTAATATAAAACAATAAAGATAGATGAAGAAAAATATCAAGTAGTAGCCAATGTAAATCATAACATCTCTCATGTGTTTTTTTAATTGCCCACGGTTGTGAATTTCGACAGGATCATAAGCACCGAAATTACCTTGCGGTACTGTAAAATATTCAAAAGATAGCCAAATGAACATTGGCAGGTTTAACAAAAATAAAATAACTTGTCCGTGTAAGAGAAGCAAAAATGTAAGGAACGAATGACCAATGTATTTTGGCAACAGCCAATAATTAAGCTTGTCACAACACTCTTGTGCGTTTAGATAATCACATTCTAAATCTGATAATGTTATGATGAAATATACTAACAAAAATAAAATAGCACCACAATCGACCAATGACAAAGAAAACAACAAGGTTTCAGCTAATATCATAACTAACTACACTGATATTACTATTGACAAATAAAATAAAATTTAAATGGTTTACTAACAAACTTCGTTAAAAACAAAATTGCAAATGTACAAACTTGCCAATCCTATTTATCATTTAATGGATGTCCGACTAGATTAGATCGATAACGATAAGACATTTTCACCCGGCAATTGGGTGGACCTTTCGCTCAATTTTGAATGACAGCTTCAATATGTTCGGAAATGAAATTGAATTTTTAAAACTGGATTTAAAATATTTACGTGGATGAATGAAAATTACTACTTTTTGTCTGTTCTTTCATATATTATTTAATTAGGTCTTTTGAGTAATTAGATTATTTGGAAGTAAAATGTCTCTGAAGCAAGAAAACTTCACAGTTGGACATTTTCGTTCAGAAATCATTAAAAATTATTTAAACATTTTCCATATTAACTTGTAAATATTTAATTATTAAGCAAATGCGATGTTTTTTTAATCCATTTCTAATATTTTCAATAGCTGTTTTGTAGATACAATCAAATAACTTTTGTGGAATTTAATTTTAGTCGACAATCGTATACGTTTCTGAACCAAATTTGAGAAATGGCGAAATTGAGGCTCTCGGAACATCTATTTTTCGTTCGATAATTCCAATTTTCTAACTAAAATAATGCAATGTTATTAGTCTGTTTACGATATTTACTAATATTTATTTTAAGTGACTTGTTTGTACGACAGTGACTCCTATGAATCTTCTTGTGTTAAATACATTTTGTTACAGTGCTGGGTATCTAGTCAGTTTTAATTTATAAATTCTTTCCACGTAAGTTTTTTTCACATTAATTTAGTAAGTCTATGTTATATGTTTATTGTTAGAACTTAATTAAAGAAATATTATGCATTAAACATGTATAATTTATCATATAGGCCACTGGCACTCTACCTTCTTGAGAACATCTATATTTACCTAATGAATAGTATTTAGAAACTTCCCCAAAGTTATTTTTGTACAAGGGTTTAGCGATCCTCTTGACATTAAATTAGTTGAGCATAACGAATGTTGTAAATGTTGATAGATACTTAGTTTACAATTTTAGAGTGACAATGAATAACTGTGGATCTGGAGTTGGAGCTGCAATGGCCACAGGCGCTGGTGCTTACGACACCAAAATAGCTGGCTTGTACGATTTGCTTGATACTCTGGGTTCTGGACATTTTGCTGTTGTGAAATTAGCAAGACATGTATTCACTGGTGAAAAAGTTGCTGTGAAAGTTATTGACAAAAGTAAATTAGATGAGGTCTCAAAATCCCATTTATTTCAAGAGGTAAACAGAATACTTCTTTCATTATCTTAACAGATTATTTGTAATTTTTTCTTAGATATATTTGATACTAACATAATATATAACTTCACTGCTATAAATATTTGATAACATTGGAAAGTGTTTCTAACCAAGGGTAAATATTTTAGTAAGTGTAAAAAAGTATCTAATAAAAAAAAGGTTATTAGAATTCCCATAAGATTATAAAAATTTATAAAAAACTCTTTATAGTCTTAGGACTTAACATAAAATTTTATATCACAGGTAGATATATGTTAGTGTTGTATGTTTTGATTTATTTTATTGTCTTGAGCAAAAATGATACTTTTCTGCCAAATAAAAAAATGCTTATGTTATGAAAATTAAAACATTACAGATTTTTGTTTGCTTTTATATTCATAGATATATTTTATGCATCATTGCTACAAAAAATCTTATGTTAACATTTTTCATCCCCTAAAAGCAATCCTATATCACATTGCTATAAAATATTGTGAACCCTAGTTATTCTATTTTTACTCTTATTGTACAAGGGGGAAAAATAAAAATAGACTTTACCCCTGTTGTGCACAGTCTAATAAAATTAAAATAAGGAATTTAAAACACTGTATAGATGTACCTCTATAGATATAGAATTTATGCAATAAAAAGAAAACTAGTCTAGATTGTTTGGTATTCAGTAATTCATCATATTTGTCCACAGGTTCGTTGTATGAAATTAGTACAACACCCCAATGTGGTGAGATTATATGAAGTGATTGACACACAGACTAAACTATACCTAATATTAGAGTTAGGTGATGGAGGGGATTTATATGATTACATAATGAAACATGACTCGGGTCTCTCAGAATCTCTCGCTCGTGATTATTTTCGCCAAATCGTACGCGCAATCTCATATTGCCATAGGTAATTATACTATAAATAGTTATTTTGTAATTAAAGTGTTTGATAATTAATCATAATTATTATTTTGCAGGTTACATGTTGTACATCGTGATTTGAAACCGGAAAATGTAGTCTTTTTTGAAAAGTTAGGTGTAGTAAAATTGACTGATTTTGGTTTTAGTAACAAATATTGTCCTGGACAAAAATTAGAGACGTCATGTGGATCGTTGGCGTATTCAGCCCCTGAGATATTGTTAGGTGATTCGTATGACGCTCCCGCGGTTGACGTGTGGTCTCTAGGTGTAATTTTATACATGTTAGTTTGTGGACAAGCACCATTTCAAGAAGCGAATGATAGTGAAACTCTTACAATGATTATGGATTGTAAATACATTATACCCCCACATATATCAAATTCTTGTAAAAGGTACAATTAATATTTAATTTAATTTAATGTAAATGTAGTAGTAATGATGTTTTCAACTTAACTTTTTTATTTTTATTCTAAGGTTAATAGGAAGAATGCTAGTCAGGGAACCGGAGAAGCGGGCTACTCTGTCTGAGATAGCAACAGATCCATGGGTGACCGCTGGAGAGGGTATCGCTGTGGAAGATTTTGATGCTCCCCTTGTTACAAAGGAACAGCTATCAGAAGAAGACCGATCGGCTATTTTACAGAGGATGGTGAATGGTTCTATCGCAACAAAAGAACATATATTGGAGTCTCTAGAAAAGAATGATTATAATCACATAACTGCCACATACTACCTGCTTGCGGAAAGGAAACTGCGGGCTAAAAGGTATTCTTATTGATTTAGTTCTTTTATGCTGTTAATTAGGAAAAGTTTGCATTTAGTATACTTATAGTGCTTACATTTGCTGTGAATATTCCATCCATATACATCTTAAACCTTTTGTTGATAATGTGACTAAATAAATTTTGTTTTACAATGTGTTCTATTCAATAAGTCAATTGTTAATGGATGTTGTCTTGTGGAAGTCCATATTGTCATATTTTTAAACTGTTTGTTTAGTAAATGTGTTGTTGTAAGGCAAGCGGCGCGCGCTGCCCGGCGGCCGGAGGCGCTGGGCGTGCCGCTGTGCGCGGCGCGCGGCCGCTCGCTGCTGG